ATTTCACTGTATGTAAATTTTACCCCAATTAAAACAAAAAAAAACCTTGAGAGGACAAAAATATGAAGAACAAAAGTTAAAAGAAAAATAATACAAGAGAGGAGAAAGCCATGGTAATTGTTAAAGTTAGGTATTGGGTATATGGGGGCTTACTATTCTATTCTGTCTACTTTTGATTGTGCTTAAAATTTACCACAATAAAAAGTTTTTTTAAAAGGCAACTGAATAATAGTGTGTTGTGTATTTGAAGTTTGCTAAGAGAGTAGATCTTAAGTGTTCTCACCACACACTCACACAAAAGGTAACTTTGGGAGGTAACAAATACGTTAATTAGTTCAATTGTAGTAATCATTTCACAATATATACATATGTCAAAACATCACACTGTATACTTTAAATATGTACAATTTTTACTTGTGAAAAATAAACAAAAATTAAAAATTTTTAAGTATCACAGTAAAAAAAAAAGACAAAATATTCATTTAACCTTTTCCATATGGTATTTAAAATATAAACCCACAATACTCATTGCCAAATAATATACAAAGTTATTGAAAAAAAGGGAGGAGGGACTGGATCTGCTCAGAAAAATAGTGCTTCAGGTTCCAAAGTTCTTACACCACAGACTATGATTTCAATAACATTAGCCAGAAGATTTTTTTGCGGGGGGAGGTAATTTGGAACCAAGTTAAACCCAAACTATTAAATTAGTCTTATCTTTCAGGTTGGGGTCTATGGACCAAGTCTGGAAGACTTTGAAAGCAGATGTACCAAGCACCTCTCTCCATCCATGGTTCATGATGTCTGTGAGAGCTTGTCAGAGCTCCACACATATTACCTAGGTGGACCACTTCAGTGTTTTATGGCCATAGCTCCACTACCAGTATCCATATCACTGTGGCTGAAGACTCTTCTGAAACTGCAGAAGGCTGCTGCTCTGTCCATGTGTGTACATGTGCAGCATGCCAGAAGTAACAGAGAATTAACACCCACCCTCCCACCCAATCAGCTCTCAACCATAATTTTTGGAAGTTGATGTTGAAGTACTGTAGCTCTTTCAGCACTTTAGTGTGATGATTCTGAGGGATATATTTCACACAGAATTAAGCTCTAGTTGCCCACTGTGGTGGCTGGTGTAGGAGTTCAGAGTATGCCACCCCAAAATATGCCATCCTGGTGTACTGATTATTTTAAGTTAAAGGCACTGAAAATCAGCAGATGCAAGAAGGGCACTCTAAGCTTCCTTCTTCTTCCTGAAAGCAGGAGATAAAATTCCCATGCAAAAGGTGTAACCCCCATACCAGGAGGGAAGGAAGACATTCTTATGACCAGAGACAGGGAGGTGAGGCCAAACGACAAACAAACCTTGTTAAACCAAACCTTATCTTCCTAGTCACTTTTCTACAAATAACTGCCCTTGCACAAACTCCTTTGTCTTGTCCATTTTCACAATTTATTACTCATTGTCCAACCTAGTATATATGTGTTTGGTTCCAACTACACTTCTTTGGGTCTTCATTTTTCTTATGAAGGCTCCTGTGTACATGTAAAAATTACTAAATAAAATCTGTATACTTTTCTCCTGTTAATCTGTCTTAACGTCAGTTTCTCAGGCCCAGCTATGGGGCCAAAGAGGGCAGTACACTTTCCCTACACTGACTTAACAACATACTCTTTATAGCCTGTCTTCACATTTCTATACCCATCATCGCCCCACGCCAATGTTCTCTGTACTTCCTCCAAAATTACTTGAGTTCAGGTTAAAAAAAAAAAAATATATATATATATATATATAATAGAAAGGGTACAAAGTGTACTACAAAAAGGAAAAAACAGATGACAGAATGAACCACTTCACAGGCATACTACTGATCGTGCTGTTGCTAACCCTGGAGCTTTTGCAATTTCAAAGCATAACAGTTAAGTAAATAGGAGAGTTCAATATACAATTAATCCTATACCCCAAGACAGGCTGTTTTAAGCCTTTGGGGCAGCTATGTTACATGGAGCTCTTTTGTTGACAATTCACAGAAGCCGACTAGAGTTAGCTTAAGCGCAAAGTCTATGGGCCTTAAGAACAGAATCAGTGATTGGGAAATTAAAGAAAACTTAGGAAGTCTCTGCCTCCATCTTTTTTCTAGTTATTTACTTCATCTTTCTCTCCTTGTTTCCCAGTCCACATGGCTACTCCCAGACCTCACAAGATTATACAGTACTGTATAGAAGCCCAGAGAGAAATAGAGCCTGATTTTCTTTCTCAGCCTCTGCTGTTCTCTCTTGTTCTCTTTCCTTCTCCCACACTGTCCTTTTCAAAATGCCCAGGGAGAGAAATGGTCCTGCTTGGGCCAGGTACCTACACCAGGACCAATCAACTGTGGAGAGAAAGCAATGTCACAAGGTAGAAAAACGGCAGTACTCTGCAATCCAATAGAATGGGGGAAAGGGACATTCCCAAAGAATGGGTATTGGCAAACAACCCAAGAGAATCAACTATATGAGTCATGGATCTGTTTGAGAAACTGATAAAAACATTGGATCTTCTTCACAGCAATATGTACACACTCACAAACACCAAACTGTCCATACAATTTGAGGGCATTCATGAAGCCCCTGTAATCCATTCTTAGATCCTAATTTTAAAACTCTCTATTATCCATTTAGATATTTTAAATGCTTAAAATTTTTCAAATACTGCTCTTAAATTTTCAAATTTTAAATACTGAATGTGAAATTACATTCAACGGTTTTTCAACCACAAAAAAATACACATAATAAAATATTAAGTCTTTCACAGGAATATAACACGTAAGAAGTCTATACTAATAACATGGACTAGGTAGAAGAGGCTAACGATCAGACATCAACTGGAGTCTACTGTCATCAAATGGACACTATATGGCAGTCCCTCACATTTTTTACTGCAGTTAAAATAACTTTTCCATAGTATGTCCCCAAAGACGGTCAAACACTTGGGGGATGTGTGCCTAGCCCCTCTCCCATTCAAATCGTAACACTTGAAATTACCTCATAAAGAGATACATGAAGTTATTCAAAAAATTAGTAAGATCTAGTGCATTGCTACTTATGATGGCCTAGAAAAAAAAAAGTCTATACATAGTTTAATCAAAAGTTTCTACTCAAAATACACAGCTATTACTGTATGCAATTTTACTCAAAACAAGCAAAACCAAACACAAACAAAAGAAATAAGCTAGGGAAATAAAATCAGAAGTAAATGCCTCAAATCTATTATGAAACAGGTGAAATATAAATTTAAAATCATATTAAAGTAGTCAGGAAACCTATACCCTCCACTGGTTACTAGGAAGCAGTCAATGACATTAGTAATATATCCTTAACCTCTGAGAGTATATAATGGAAGGAAATGGCCACATTTTACCACAAAATGTTCTTACATTACAGGAAAAGACAGGAAAACAGAAAACAAAGAATAATGTTTTAACAGAGAGTTGTGTTACTCAGACGTTCTTTAAATGTATCGAAAAAGGGGCTTATGAATACAGTACTATACCTATGCATTTTGATTCTACAACATATCTTGTATAAACTTCATATATGAAAATACTACGAAAATCTAAAATATTCAGTATTATATCCATGCGTTTTGACTCTATAATGTATCTTGTGTAAGTTTCATATATGAAAATACCCTGAAAATCTAAAGTGTTATCTTTGCTGATATATTTTCTAGACAATCTCTGAAAGAGAATCTAATTTCCTGAGTATGTGAATACATAAACTTGATGAAAGCTAGAATGATGAAACACCACTGAGTCTGATTACATACAATAAAATTTAAAGATTATATTCCCACACCATACTGAAAATTTTTGTATTAAGTAGAGTTGGAAAAAGGAAGACTCTCATTATATGAGGTTAAAAAATATTTTTTTAAGCAGAGTCAACTGCTATACTAATTATCATTTTTGTATACAATATTGAACCTATATATGAAAGTCAGCACATAAAGTCTAAAAATTAATCAGCTACTGTGTTTCATTTAGAAATTTCTGTACTTGAAAAACTTTGGAGAAAGTATTTTTTAAATTATAAATTCATTCATGGATTTAACATGAATAGTTTTTAACAGTTTCACATGTCCCTGAAGTTCTGTGACAGGTAGTAATTTGTAATTTTGGTTGAGTCACACATTTCACTTGGATACACTAAAAGACTAGCTGGTATTCCTGAGTTACTAGGAAGAAATAATCCCAGCCAATGTGAGTGACATCTGTATTTTTTTTGCTCATTTTTGAATGCAGAGTAACTCTTATGTAATACCTGAAGCACAAGATTTTTTTAAAATCATACTTCACTTTTTAAAAAATATGCGAAATGACACAGGACAGAGGAATCTGCAAATGTGTGGGTTCACAAAGGAAGGTCTCTGAATACACCTTGTAAGAAAGTCAAAGGGTTTAATGGTAGCTCAGGAGAATGCAGGATTTTGGTATTATCAATAGGTACATCATAATCTAATAGGATGATCAGAAGGCAGAACTGACAATTCTAGGACTCAAACTTAAATTCTGCTACTAAATTCTAGTATGATTTCACATTAAATCCAAGTTAATGTACATCATTTACCTCACTAGAGAATGAGAGAAAACACTGTATGTATCTGCTTTTGGGACACTAAAATGCAAAGTTCATATAAATTCTCCTATGTGAAATTCAGAACTGAAGTAGCTTTTGGTACAAATATTTCACCAGGACAGTGATTTGAAGGAGCATTGATTCCAATGCACAACTGTAGTAATTGTAGCTGAAAAACATAAATGCCACCTTCTCATACTTGCATCAAGGAAAAGACTCTGAGTCATATTTCATCCACATTCCTTAATGTCATCTTCAAACAAGTAGACAATCAAATACTTACAAATATATCTAAAGCCCACTGCCTAGACACAAAGTAAGAAATATTAATAAAAATAGACTTGTAATATACAAAAAGCTCGTGTGCTACAGACTATGATTACCTGGAGGTAGGAATTGCAGTTGGTTATTAGCTAATCGAAGATGACGTAAAGCTCTCAGACGACCAATTTCTGGGCAAACAATTTCTAAGGCATTGTCACTAAGATCCAAACACTGTAGTTTTACAAGGGACCCAATGGCTTCGAAGAGAAAAGAAGGGTAAAAGCATGATTAATTTGACCCAAGTGTTTTAACACCAAACTTTAATGCAAGTACTCCAAATTTAAATATTTTAATGCTTAATATCCCTGTCTCCAGGGCTGACATAATAGTAAAAACATATATCAAACTAAACTTTTTAAAAATTTTTATTAGAGTATAGTATCAAACTAAATTTTATGAAGTGATAACACTTCTACCTTGATATAAAGTAAGTTTAAAAATAGCACAAATAAAAATGTTAAAACAATGTAAAAATTACTTGAATAAATAATTCATGAAATATATAAAGTCTTTTTTATCTAACCAAAATGCTTAACTGGATTTATTAAACTTAAAAGTTATCATTTTATTATTTACCCAATGACAGTTTATCTGATAATAAATTTTTACCTAACCATTATAACCATTTTAGACTTCTTAAATTTAATTTAATCGTAGCAGTTAACTGGATTACTAATTAGAGGAAAAAAAGCTTTGAAACTAATAAAGATGCTCTATAATTAAAATTCCCTAATTTTCCAACCAAAATTGGTTTAAAGAGACAATCTGTTCTACTATTATAAACTATAATAGCACTATACTATCTGTTCTACTATTTAAACTATAGCACCTCCTAACTAAAAACTTGAAGTGCACGTACCTTCCGGAACCACAACTATGTTATTTGAGTGAAGATACCTAGAGGAAAAGAAGGGAAAAACAGCTGTTATCATTCGGTACTTCTGCTAGATAATCACTCTGTAAAATGCTCACTTAGAGATTTATCAAATATAAAGGGACCAGATTTTCTTTCATACCCTACTCTAAATGTGTAACACAAACTATATGGTCATCACGGATAATTAATAATACTTTGAGAATAATATTGTATGCTAGAATTGCAAATATTAAAACTATTTGCTAATTTAGTTGCTATTTTAAAATTAAAACATACACAATAAAGTATTTTTTTCAACCTCATAAAACAAATTACTAGTTTCTCTAGTTCATTTTAAATTATTCAGGTTTTCAGAAAAACATCTATTGTGTAGAGAAAAGTCAACACCTATTGTGTAAAGGAAAATGCAACTTTTAGTTTTTAAAGGATAACTTCACAAAATAATCAAAGATATTTCAAGCCAGTATGGAGAACCAAAAATGAAGCAATTAAATACTCATCATTTATGATATCTGTAGAAATATTCAACTGTCAAGGTACATAATATATTTCACAGCAAGAGGAATTTTGTAAATAAGAAATCAAATTCTTTTCTCAGAAAAAAAAAAGTCTACCCTGCTGACAAGTCCAGGCAAGTCTAAGTAAATAACATTCCCCACTGAAGTATCTTTAGCACTCTCTGGTGGAGACTTCATGCAATAGTCGGCAGCCAACTATTCAGAGCAAAACAACAGTGACCAATGAAAATCGCATAATAATAATTTTAAAAATAAAATTAGATCATTGATTTTTGAGGCCAGAGAACTAGATTTTGATAAAGTATTTTCAAACCTGTTGTCTTATTTATTATACCTCATAATCACTCTTCATATAGTATATCTTACATAGAATTTAAAATATTTCTTCTATATATTTTAGCCTGATATCAAATGTTAAAATGTCAATGACACAGAATAAGAAAGATACAAAATTAATAAATTTAAGAAGATTTTTATATGCTGGATTAAATCAATTCTGTGTAGGTATTAACTTGCTGGGCCTAACATAATTTAAACAATTACACCATTCTATGATTCATTTTATTCCTTGCTTTGTGTATACAGAATGATTCCATATTTTACTTTTTTTAGAATGTTTCCATATTTTAAAATCAATATTCTTTAAACATTACTTTTAGGAAGAAATATCTAACTACTTTAACAGATTACTCTAAAAATTCTTTATGCCGAAAGACTATATATATATATAAGTATACACACACATTTGCATGTATTACACAAAAGGCAGAGCGCCTAGACACCAAAATAGATAACTGATTTTTCAGTAATCCACAAAATTTTTGCCTCAACTCCAATTCTACCTACAAAAAAGGACCTTAAAATGTCCAAGTCAAAATATGAACTAAAGTACTATTATCATTAAAATCAAAAAGTATATTTTAACATAATAAATTTATCTACATTATAATGAAAAGCAGTAAATGGTAGTTTAGAATGTTCTCAATCCTGACTACACATTAGAATCACCAGTGGTCTTCAAAATATAGATGTCCAAGGCCATCTCAACTCAAGTTGCTCTGATGTGCAGCTGATGAAGAATCATCACTGGTAAAGTGGATCAGAGTAGGTTCTGGAGCCAGACTGCCTGTACCTTAATATCTATGTGACCAGGGGAAAATTACTGACCTTTTCACTTTCTTAATCTACAGAAGTAGAGGATAACAGCACCAACAACATAGGGATGCTGTGAGGATTAAATGAATTAATAAATGTAAAGCCCTTAGAACAGAGTTCCATGAATGCCACTGTTATAATTATTATTGTTATCATAAGTCATTTGTAATCAAAGGCTTAGCAATTTTAAGTCACTTCTGTCTACTTAATTTTTGTAATTTCAAAGTAGTTAAAATGTTGGTGTTTTGACGTAACTGGTTTTCATCATGTTCTTTTTCTACTCAAATAATGCAGGAACTCCCATTCACTGCTGGTGGGAATGCATGACTGTACAGCCACTTTGGAAAATGGTTTGGCAGTTTTTTAATAAAATTAAATATAGATATTTACTTAATAGTAATATGGCAATGTCAGTTTCTTAGTCTTGACAAATGTTCAATGAAATTGTAAGATGTTAACAACAGGAGAAACCTGGGCATACTGGAACTCTGTACTTACTATCTTTACAACTTTTCTGTAAATAAAAACTGCTCCAAAATAAAAAAAAAAAATTTTTTATTAAAGGAACAGGACTTATACTTCCAGCCATGACGAAATAATAAGGACCAGATTTACCTAATTGCTATAAGCAACAAGAAAACCAGACGGAATATATGAAACAATTATTTTCTAATACTGACAAGAGGCAACTAGTACTATGTTCCCTGACAGAGAAGAAACAAGTGAGGTGAGCCACACAATGTCCACAGATTTATGCCTGGAGGCAAATTGTGCACTGTGGTACAAAAATGGGATCCCAAACAAAGAATGAAGTCTCACTGAGTTATGAAGAAACAAATCAGAGTTCAGGGAACCTGAGGCAGCTGGAAGTTGTGGGTACAGTTCTGGAGGAGAGGGCACTACTGAAAAAAAAAACTTCAAGGGATCCTTTGACTCTTAGCTGAATTCTATAATGCACTCCAGTCAAAAAGTAACTGAAAACCTATCAGCTGAACAGTCCACAGAGCTCATACAGGGCTAGAAAGCATTCAAGTTCTGAGCAGCAAGTGTACCAAATCCTTGTTGATCACTTGGTTCATTTAAACGAGATTCTAGAAAGGTCCTGTGTGGGTAATAGGGCTAAACTATCCCTTTAGTAGAAGTTACTCTAGACCTGTCCTAACAAGCATAAAGACAGGCCATGAAAGGATCAAATTAAATTGCAAATAACTGCAGGCCAGAACAAAGCACCACAAAAAGGAAGACAACAAAGTGTAGACACAATAAAGTATTCATAAGGCCCAGCATCTAATCAAAAAGTGCTAAGAATTAGGAAAATGTGACCAATAACTAGGATAAAAAACAGTTAATACAAACGGAACCAGTATGACACAAATGATGGAATTAGCAAATAAGAACTTTAAAACAAAACAACTATAACAACTATATTCGGGTATTCAAAGAAAAATATAAACATTGTGAGAGAAATGTTAACATATAAAGAAGAACCAAATAGAGCTTCTAGAGATCAAATATACAACAAACTAAGTGAAAATCTCACTAGGTTGGATTAACAACTTACTAGATACTGAAGAAGAAAATACTACCAACCCTGAAGACAGGGAAATATAATATGTCCTAACTGAAGTACATTAAAAAAAAAAAGACTGAAAAGAATAGAACTGAACAGTGTGTCAGTGATTATGGGACCATATTAAACTAACAAACATGTAAGAGTCCCAGAAGCAGGGACCAGAGATAAGGGTATAGAAATAAATATCTAAAGAAATATATTTAAAAAATCCAAATTTGATGCAAACTATAAAGACACAAACCCAAGAAGCTCAATGAATGTCAAGGATAAAGAAAAAGAAAACCACAACAAAGTACATCAAAATCAAATCCCTGAAAACCAATAGAAGAATCAGACATTCTTCAAAGTAGCCCAAGGAAAAAAGACACATTACATACTGAGGAAGAAATATAGGAATGTCAGCAGATGTCTCTTCAGAAAATATGCAAGCCAGAAGACAATAAACACCGTGAAAATGTTGAAAGAAAAAAAGTAACTGACAACCAAGAACTCTAATTCCAGAAGGCAAAACATACACATTTCAGAACTATGAAGATGAATGTAAAGCAAAAAACTATACAACTTTTAGAGAAAAAAAGCAGGAGAAAATCTTCAGGGTCTAGGACTAGACAAAGTTCTTAAATTTGACACTAAAAACATGATACATAAAAGCAAAAATTGACAAAGTGGACCTCATCAAAATGTAAAACTTCTGCTCTACAAAAGAACATGAAAATAGAAGTTATACAGAGGGAGAAAATATTTGTAAACAACCTATACAACCAAGGACTGTTTTCCAGAATATGTAAAGAACTCTTAAAACTCTTACAACTAAAGAAAAATATCCAAATAGAAAATGAGCAATAGACATGAACAGACATTTCACTGAAGAAAAGATAAAGATCACAAGTACTTGAAAAGATGTTAAATTAACGTTATAAGCCATTAGAGAAATACAAATTAAAACCATAATTAGATAAAACCACACATCTATCTGAATGACAAAAATTTAAAGTAATGACAACAAAATAATGCAGGTGAGATGTGGAGAAACTGGAACAATCACACATTGCCGGGGGAGAATGTAAAATGGTACAGCCAACCTGGGAAATTATTTGGCAGTTTTTAATGAAACTACAAATTCAGATCGAAAGTGGCAGAATAAAGACCTCCAAAAATTCTCTTTATTTGTAAAATCAACAATAATACTGGCAAAAATTATCAGAAGCTACATGTACAGAACTCTGGAAATTAACCAAAGACTTGCAGTAATACAGGGAGGGTTTATGTAAGAAAAATGGCAAAAATCTCAGTAAGAAGACTAAGCTGTGAATTTTGGGATATTTTTACTTGCCCCAGTCCTATACCCTACTCTCCACCTCTGCAGAAGCCTGGAAAATCACTTTGCTTTTCACTTCAATTGCAGTAGCCTGGCTAGTACCTAAAGGGGCAGAACCAAGTTGGAGTTCATTTCCAGAGAACTGTCATTTGACTGTCTCATGGATCTCTGAAAGACCCCACTTGCAAGGCTGTTTTTAACTTGATCTGACTAGAAGCTTGCCCAGTACAAAAACCCTTTCTCCAACTGAGATAAATTACAGGCAATTGTTTAACTTCGCTGGTGCCTGAGGCACTAGATAACAGCTGGAGCAAACAATAGACAACCAAAAACCTTAAATGAAAAGTTGGGGAGTTCCTTCCAGAGAACTTTGAAAAACTCTGACATATTTCTAGAAATCTAGAAGGTCACATGCATGCCCAGAGCTGCACATATGCTCAGGAAAGACCCGAGAAG